ATTATTGTGTTTTAATCAGGTTGCTTTCCACCTAACCAACCCTTAGGGATGAGCTCATTTTATGGAGGTAATACTTTTTATTACAAATATTGAAAGGATGGGCACCTGGGTGGTTCAGTAGGTTAAACGTCCAACTCTTGATTTTGGCTCAGGTCATGATCTTAGGGTTGTGGGACTGAGCCCTGCTTCAGCTTGGTGTTGAGCATGGAGCCGGCTTGAAATTCTCTCTCCCTCTCCCTCTGTTCCTGCATCGTCCCCAGCCCACCACGCGCATGCGTGTGCACACGTGCTCTCTCTTAAAAAAAAAAGTATTGAAAGGAGAAGTGACAGAAGTAATTTTGGAGTTCTAACTGCTTAGGGAGGACTGGCAAGGATATTTTGGATAGAAAGAGGGCAGCATGAGGGTGCTGGGTAGGGGAACAAGGATATGGGGTTCTAAGAGGCGGAGAGAAGGATGTAGAAAGGGGATAGAACAATTCCAAAGACAATTTGCAAATCTTCCTAGAGGAAGGATCCTGAGTTTTCCCTTCTTCCCAGAGACAAAATGAAAAGCAACTTCTCTCTTTACAAAATTGAGAGGTGACCAGATGGAAAGGATGATGATGATGATGACAATGACAATAACATAGCACTTACCATGTGCCAAGCACTATTCAAATTAAGTATTTAGTCCTCCTAACAACCCTAAGAGGTACACTCTATTATTTCCATTTTACAGGTGAGACAGCTGTGCCCTGTCAGCCTGCCCTTAGCTCTGCAGTCTGGGGTTGCAGGTCAGAGATGACAGGGGTATACAGCAGCCTCTCTGGCTGGAAGCCCTCCACCTCCCACCTGAGATGTCTGCCCAAGAGAGGACAGGCAAACAAGCCGGGCCAGGGATATTTTGTCCCAGATAGTGAGCATGCCTTCCGCTGGAGGGTGGGAAAGAGGGACATTACCTGACATAATGAAAGGAGGTGGATATCAAATATCAATTACAGCTTTGGCCTGTCTCTAGACCTCAACTTTATTTTTTTTAGATTTATTTATTTATTTATTTATCTGAATGAGTCGGGGAGGAGCAGAGGGAGAGAATCTTCAAGCAGACTCCCCGCTTAACACAGAGCTCGATGTGGGGCTAGATCCCACGACCCTGAGATCATGACCTGAGCCAAAACCAAGAGTCAGATGCCCAACCGACTGAGCCACCGAGGCACCCCTAGACCTCAGTTTTAAAGCGAGAAGGGAGCTGGTGTGTATAAGGAGCAGACATGGATGGCAGAGACTCTTAGAAGACTTAGGTCTGGCTCTCACTGGTTGACTTTGAGCAGGTCATTCCTTCTCTCTGGGCCACACTTTCCTCAATTACACAACGAAGGCATTAGATGAGAGTTAAGCCTCTGAGTTCCTTTACAACTCGAAAACTATGCAATTCTAGAACCTAGTAGTTGGGAATGACAAATTGTGATCTCTCTCTCCCACTGCATATGCTCAAGAGCATGATATTTTGGGTATAAATATGCCAATGTCTGCTGTCTGTATATGTGTATTCTGGCTATATGATTAAACTTTAGCTGTTTGTGGGTAAATAAGGGATGCTTCTTGATTTTCCCCAGGAGAGACCAAACTGTGAGATAGTAAACTCTAAGATCAGTGACTTGAGGGCAAATGATTCTCGAGAAGGTTTTGGCCTGAAATCATTCTTTAGCATAGTTATTTTTTCCATTTTTTTTCTTACAACCAAATCTAATTTAGTTTTGACATCAACCCTGTGGAATGGCACAGGTTTTTACAGAAGAGGGAAAAGAGCCTCAGAGATTAAGTGACTTGTTCAGGATCACATGGCTCATTAGAGCCAGAGTCAAAACCAAGGCCTAGGGCTTCTGATTTTGGGCTTGTGTGTTCTTCCTAGTATTGTGCTGAGTGTCAGAAGAGACTGTGTGCATAGAAACAGAGCCAGATGGGGTCTGTTTCTAGGTGAAGGCAAAGTGGAGAGCCTCTAGCCAAAGGATGCCAGGCTGACTTGCCTGCCTTCTTTCCACGTCTGTAGCTTCCTGGCTGCAGTGTCCTTTCATTTAGACCAGAGGCTCAGAAGACTTAAAGATAATCGTTATTTCAAGAGCCAGGAACCATGATTAGAATTAATTAGAATGTCAGAGGGCAATGATAAGAAGTAATATCATTCTGGAGCCTCTGGCAAGATGTGAAAGATGTTTACTAACTCTTCTCAGAGAAGAACCTAATTTGCCCTCCTTCTCTGGGCTCACTTCTATGAAGCAGGGGTGTGATCACACCATCGCTCATAGCTGCTGGGAGAATCAAAGGAGATTAGTAGGTTACAGTGCCTCTGAGAAGACACACAATGTTTACTTACTCATTCAACCGGCCGACATTCATTGAGCACCTACAATATCCCAGGAACTGTGTTAGGAACTTGAGGAAGATAAGACAAACAAGAACCAAGGAGCTCCAAATCACCATTACTATCTCCCCTACTGCCTTTTCTTATCTTTTCTTGTTCGGGGCCATAGGAGGGAAAATCTTCCCCAGCTAAGTGTTCCTCTAGGGAATTCTTTTTTTTTAAGATTTTATTTATTTATTTATTTATTTATTTGAGAGAGAGAGAGAGAGAGAGAGAGAGAGAGAGAAACAGCATGAGAGGGGAGAGGGTCAGAGGTAGAAGCAGACTTCCCACCAAGCCAGAAGCCTGATGTGGGACTCGATACCAGGACTCCAGGATCCTGACCTAAGCCGAAGGCAGTCGCTTAACCAACTGAGTCACCCAGGCACCCCTTCTAGGAAATTCTTGCTAGGGCCCAACCTCTAGGTCTACATTGGACCAGCAGAGGGCTCCCTCTGCTGTAGCTCATTCAACAAATCATTAATTCACTTGGTGTGAACCAGACATGGTTCTAGGTACTAGGTGAAAGATGGTGAACAAACCTACAAGGTCCCTGCCCTCAGAGAGTTCATCTTGTACTGGGGAAGGCAGACCTTAAACAAATCAACACACAAATAAACATCTATTCACAAATCGTGGTGAGGGTGTTATGAGGTGGAGAGAGAGAAGTAGAACTCAATTTAGAAGGCCTATCTGAGGAGACATGAAGTTGAGATCCTAGAAGGATGAGAAGTCAGCTAGCAGACAGCCTGAGGAGGAGTCCTCCAGGCAGAGGGAGCAGCATGGCCTAAGGCCTTTGACATGGGAGGGAACAGGTGTCTTCAAAGAACTGACAGAAAACCAGTGCAGCAGAGACCCGAGCAAGCAAAACAGTGGTACTTGACAGAGCTAGAGCGAGAGGCAGGGGCCAGACCAGGCTGGGCCTGTAGACTGGGGTAAGAAATTAATTGTAAGTGCTCTGCACTTCTAGTGCCTTCTTCTGTCTTCCCAGTGCTAGTAAAGAAACAACCTGGGTTACTCTGCTAGTTCTGCCATCCCATGATGGTGATGAAAAGTTTAAAGTTAGTTGGGAAATTTATCATAGTACAAACCACCACAGAAAAAAATGTCAGCTTCAGCTCCTTTGTTTTTAGGTGACTAACCTATAAACTCCTCTGACCCAGAACCTATGAACTGGGAGGTTGATGCCAAAGCTTTTCATCCCCACCCCTACGGTGATCACAGATCTACAGAAATAAGTTAGCTAATTCACTGGTCATGGTACCTATTGCACATGGACTCCTTAGTTTACTCAGATGGCTCACATCTCTTGGGATGGAAGATTAATTTACCACTTAACACCCAGAAGGCGATGTAAATGTGCACAAATAACTGTAATAAAGGGAAGAGAGTGATAAAAGCCACACGAGGTGTAGCAGAGAAATATTATTGAACTATTAAAGCTCTTTCAAGTACATGCTATGGGAGCTATTGAGTGCTCCTCTATAAAGAAAACCAACATTACAAAGTGGTAAGTTATAAGTGGTGCAAACACTGCCTCCTCTTGGAGATCACAGGAAGCCAGCCCAGGTGGAGATAGGTGCTCTCAAGCCCGGGAGGGCTGTAAATTGGTACTTTTGTTATCTTTCTGGGAAGAAAGTTAGCAACGTGGATCCAAGGGCCTCTAAAAAATTCACCTTGACCCAATAATACACTTCCAGGAATCCACCTGAAGGCGGCAGGGAGGAGATTTATTTGAAGATTTATAGATAAGAATTTCATTATAAGGTTATTATTACACTATCAAATGGCTAGAAACAACTTAAGTATCCAATCTGGATCATATAAATACATTATGGTACATCCTTATGATATACTAATATTTAAATGAAGTTTTTGAAGAACAGTAGTGACTTTTGGAAAATTCAAGATATCGTTTATCATTTAAGGGAAAGTGCAAACTAATAATTACAATATAATAGAATAAAGGCTTTGACAGAGCAAGATGGGAACAACTGGGGGAAAGAAGGAAGGATTCCCAGGACATTCGAGGTGAGTCTTTAAGGATGTGTAGGAGTTTCCAGGTGGAAGGGGGGGAAAAAGGACAAAGTGGAGACCCCTAAACTCTGCAAAAGAAGACAGGGAAGGTAATACACGTCTTGCGAAAGGCTTGCAGGAGCCATACCTCTCATACAACCGCGGCGTGCAAGCCCAATATGTTTCCTTAGGTGAGTGGATGAGCCCTGCGGGTCACCAAGACTGGTGATCCTCTCCCACCGGAGAAGGGATGACCCCGTCCCAGGCCACGCCCACCGGAAGAGCTGGCAACGTAGCAGGGCCGCTGGCGCAGGGCTGATCCCTACGCCCTGGAGCGAAATAAATCCCAGGGCCCACGTAGCTGCACCTCCCAGATTTTCCGGCGGCGCCAAAAAGCGGCCTGGAGTGTTGGCGCAGCACGCAAGCGCAGTTGGCCGCTGGACCCCGGCGGTGTGAAATTTCACACCCAGATGAAGGTTGTGGGAGGCCTCCCCAAGTGAGAAGAGCGGCTCTGTGGTAAAGGTAGAGCACCAGGCCGGGCGCGGAGGCCACACGGAGTCAGACGGCGTCCGGGAACCAGAGCATTCCCTTCTGAGCATGTTGTCTTGGCTCTTATGGGCCACAGCCTCTCAAGGTCTCTCCCACTGTCTGGGGTCCTGCTCTCTGGTCCCTGGCCAGTAGGCCCCCAAAGCTATCCCTTTCGCTTTGGTTTTCATCCCTTGATGCTCTCCCCGCGGCCCGTCTCGGAGGTTTGAGAGGGGAGACTAAGGAGAAAAAGAACGTCTCTGGCCTAGCTGCAGCACTGCCCTACGGCCTGGCTTTGGGACACCTGACTTCTCTTAGGTGGCTCAGGGTTTGGTCTGAATTGTGTCTCCCGTGGGAATTGTGCATCTCCCCGGTTCCTGACCCAACCTGATCGAGGACTGGTCTGCCCTGGTCTTTCCGACCCAGCAGTGAGCTTGGACAGGCCCCGGGGCTGTTTGCTTAAGGTACTAGTAGTTCCAGATAAAATCACTCTCCTCCCGTGGCTTAGACCTCCCCTTGCTCACACCTCTCCACGATGTGGGGTGTCTGGAGGGCTGCGTAGCTGAAGGACGCTGGGAAATGTGAGGAGATGTTTCCTCTTTAAAATGTGGATGTCATTTCTGGTCACCTGCACGCTCCTGCTAGTCACAGAGCCCACTCACTGTTGTCTTATACTTGTCCCTTTGTACTCGTTTTACCTGCCTAGCCCCTGAAGGCAATGAGTTTCCTCAGTGGAAGTTCACTTCTCCATGGCCTCGCCTGTGGAGGTTCTCACAAATGCTTCTTCTCCTCTGACCCAGATCATGGCTCATTTGGATGAAGCAGCCCACCAGCTGTCCAGAAGTGGGACAACCCTCTATGCTGTGCTGGAGCTTAAGAAAGGTGCCTCACCGGAAGACATCAAAAAGGCTTATAGGTTCAGACCCAGCCTCTTACTAAACCCTGGAATTAGCCCCACCTTAAACCCTTCTCTTTCTACCTCGCTTTCTGACCCATTTTTAAATCCTCAAGCCTTCACTTTGGGTTGGATGGGGCCATCATCCTTTTCACTGTGGCATGGCAAGGAATTTAGACTTGGGCTGCTTGCCTCCATTCTTTGCACTCATGCATTCCTTCTTCACATCTAGAGACCTATCCCTGTCATTCATCCTACCTTCCTTCCCCAGCCATTTCCCAACCGTCTTCTCCCCACCCTCCTTTTGGGTATTGCCTGGGCAGGAAACTGGCCTTAAAGTATCATCCAGACAAGAATCCAGGGGACGCTCAAGCAGCAGAAATATTCAAAGAGATCAACACAGCCCACTCCATACTGAGTGACCCTAAGAAGCGGAAAATCTACGACCGGCATGGCTCATTGGGAATATATATATATGATCACTTTGGCGAAGAAGGCGTCACATACTATTTTACGATGAATAGTTGCTGGTTCAAGGTATACAATTCTTCCTAGTCCCTTAAGAATAAGGAAGGGGCGGGAGGCGCCTGGTGGCTCAGTTGGTCAAATGTCTGCCTTCGGCTCAGGTCATGATCCCAGGGTCCTGGGATCGAGGCCCGCGTTGGGCTCCTTGCTCCCTCTCCCTCTCCCTCTGTGCTCTCTCGCAAATAAATAAATAAATAAATAAATAAATAAATAAATAAATAAATAAAATCTTAAAAAAAAAAAGAATAAGGAAGGAGGGATGACCCTCCTCTTCTCGGACAGCTGACCCTTCTCTCCCAGGGCAGCTGCTTCTGTTGTCCCATTTTGTGGGGTGGGATATGGAGGAAATGCTGGGCCGAGGCCACTCTTCCCTACCTTTCAGACACTGGTCCTCCTGTGCGCTCTGCTCACCTGCTGCTGCTGCTGCTGCTGCTGCTGCTTCTGCTGCGGAGCGCTTAAGCCACCACCTGAGGAGGTTGCCAGAAGATACCAGCAGGATGTACAGAATCAGCCTCCCAGGGCAGGTGAGAGCCATAGACAGGGCCTAGGGTAAGAGCTGGATCAGGAATGAGAGATACTTGGAGGTGAAACTCTGAGCCCTTAATATGGGCGGGAGTCTCAAGCCGGTGTTGAGGCAAAATGAAGAAAGAGAACAGGATACACTTGGTTTCTGAGTGGCTTATGCCACCAGCTGACAGTGGATGTAGTATTGGCTGGACGCCCGGGTGGCTCAGTCGTTAAGCGTCTGCCTTTGGCTCAGGTCATGGTCCCAGGGTCCTGGGATCGAGCCCCGCGTCGGGCTCCCTGCTCAGTGGGAAGCCTGCTTCTCTCTCTCCTGTTCCCCCTGCTTGTGTTCCTGCTCTCACTGTCTGTCTGTCTCTCTGTCAAATAAATAAATAAAATCTTAAAAAGAAAATGAATGTAGTATTGGCCTCTCATGACTGTTAAGCTAAGGAATGGGGTGGGAGTTAAGGTAAAGAATGGGTGGGAGGATGCCTTGAAAAGGCAGTACTTGAAGATGAAGTTCACTGCCTTTACTCGAAAGGAAGATGAAGTGTCTGATGAGATCATCCCCACCCTAAGCAGTTAAGTGTGGCTTGACTGAAGTTCACTATAGTGCCACCTAGTGATACTGACATGTAACTGCAAGGTAACGGTTTTCTCACCCCTGGGCGAAAAATTGTTACTAAATATTTGTATATGTGTTTTTCAAATTCCATCATAGGAAACAAAAGAAATTTTAGAAGAGGACAAGATGATAGTGAAGATGATTTCTAAAAGACGAAGAGGAGTGAGTATATATGGAAGCTAAAATGCAGCAATAATCAAAGGATAAGAAAAGAACATACACTAACTTCCAATGAGTCATTAGTAGAAAGTTTATATCTTATACTCTGGATTTCAGGTGTTTATATCCTTACCCGCAGGGGGCTTGCTTTAAATTCTGGGTCATCATTCCTTCTGCTTAATAAGATGCCAACCTCTTTTGCCCCCAGGTGCTGACCCAGCGAGGGTGCCTTCTGCTGCCCAACACACTGGACACGTTGAAGAGGGGAAGAAGTAGCCCTGTCCTGACATTGACCCTGATTTGCCCCTCTTCTTATAAGAATCCCAACTTCAGAAGCATTGATGGCGTCTATCCCAGAGGGGATGCCACCTCTGTCCTTGATGGTATCACTGACCCTGCAAATACAAGGTCACCCAGCCACTCTTCTTTTTAGCTCCAGTCCCAATCTGTTTAGACAGCACCCCTTCCATACCTACCCTTATGAGGTCTCAGGCAGTGGTGGCAGACTTTTCCTGAGCATTCTTTTTCCTGTACCTTGGGATTTGGGCCAGTTTCAGCTGGTAGGGGCCCTGAGCCACTTGCATTATCTCCACCAAGATCCTGATAACTGAGCAGGGTGGATCCTATCCCAGAGCTGCTATACCAGTTGACCTTCCTTTGTTGCAGCGCTGCACCAAGAGCTTTGCGTCAGTCTCGTTCCTATGCCAGCACACCTTTCTGGGGCTGGTCTCACCTTTTTCTGGTGCCCATGTGCTTGACATTGTCAGCCTCATTGTCAGACTCATTCTATGCCACCATGAGTCAACTCATGCAAAGTATGAATGCATTGGAGGGGGAGGGGGAGTTATCCCACCCTGGATTCTCTCTGGACTCTACCCCAGCACTGCCCCCCTTAGCATGGGTCCTGTGGGCTGACTGAAGTTCATCTATCAGTGCCTGCTTGCCTCCATCCTTTTTACCACATCTTATGCATGCTGATCATCATATATTTTGTTAACAGGGGCGTGAAACCTGTGATAGGGAAAAGATAATACTGCTACAGACCCTTTCCCCATTCCCACACCGCCTGTTTTCTCCTCTCCACACCATTTCCCATCCACCCAAGGTCAGAGCCGAGTAACTCCTCAAACTTCTCTCTCCTGAATGGGAGAAGGGCTAAGGAATGTCAGTAAATAAAAGAGCTTTTGTCCAATCCAATGCATCTGTTGGGTCCCAAAAAGACAAATCGGGCCTGGGATACAGGAAAAAGCCCGTGGGAGAAAAAGACAGAGGGCTGGTGCTCACATCTGAGACCAGCCGGCCTGGGAGAGGAGGAGTCCAGGACAACTGTGGAGTTGAGGCAGAGGCTTCCCAGAGCCTTGTGATTATGACTTTGTCAGTGCTCTAAAATTTCCCTGGAGACCAATTCCCCTGGTGCCCAAAATAGGTTCCTGGCACTCAGGTCCTTTCTGCTCAGCTCAACTTCTCTCGATTTCCTAACAAATTTAAAGTCCTTGGAGTGGCTCCAGTGATGTGTTCATGGACCAAATCCCCACACTTTCTCAGAGGCATGCTCATGAGGTCGTTCCAGGCCCTGGTGCAACTGCCAGCTCTAGCGTCCTTAGCTTCTGTTCCTAGGGTGATATGAGAAAGTTCTGGGCAAGAACCAAAATGGACCAGAAATGTTGGACCAGAGCCTTTCCCTTTAATCTCTGGTGCCCCTGTTCTGAATCACAGCATTCAGTGGAAGAGGGTGAGGGTCACTGGCTAAACCTTGGAGGTACTGACCAGGCCCCGGGTCTGGTGAGATCTTTCCTGCCACCCTGAGCCATGTCTGGTTCCCCCCTCCAGGCCAGTTTAGATTCTGCGTCACACCCTGGAAGAAGAGCCCAAGACAGAGCATGCTTATGGGGGTCAGGGTCTCACAGGAGCCTTCTGAGCCTGAGAGCTTGACACCTTTGCAGACCTACCTTTCACCATGAGCAGTGAAACTCACCCCTGCTCTTGTTTAAGGCAGTCACCCATTCCCGAGTGAGTCAGGGTCACTCACTCGGTGACAGCTGTGGCTCGCCTTACATGAGCTAAATTGGGAGTTGGAATGTCATGCAGATGCCCCTTGTTCCCCACCCCCATGTTAAAATTAATCTCCTCTCTGGGAAGGGAGGGACACACAGTGCTGCCCATAGAGTGAACAAGAGTCATTTGGAGAACAAAAGGAGAAATTGTCAGGGACAGAGTCACTCAGGGACGGAGGGACAGATAAAGCTAGCTACATGTGCCTGGCTGGGGTACAGAGCAAAGACTAGAGAAAGAGAAGTGTCTGAAAACAGCTATCTGAGGACGAGGTGAATTGTTGGAGGAAGGGACAGGAGAGCAGAGCTATTTCAAGAGTGAGAGGTAGAAGGGAACATAAGAACCCACGGACTGTCTGAAGTAAACGAGGAAGGGTCCAGAGGCAGTGAGGAAAGGCCAGGACTGGGGCCAAGGCCAGGGCAGGCACGATCGCTGAGGGGATGAACTTCACAGTGGGTTTCAAGCCGCTGCTAGGGGATGCACACAGCATGGACAACCTGGAGAAGCAGCTCATCTGCCCCATCTGCCTGGAGATGTTCTCCAAACCAGTGGTGATCCTGCCCTGCCAGCACAACCTGTGTCGCAAGTGTGCCAACGACATCTTCCAGGTGGGCCGGGGGGCGGGGCCGGGGGGGGCGGCCTGCGTACCTTTGTGGGAGCTGGCTCATCAGGTCGGGGACTCCAGAGCGCTCCATGAGGTGGGTGGGGGCTGTCCTGGCGGCAGGGCAGAAGACTGGGGGTCCCAGGAGATCCCAGAGTAAGCATGAGTCAGCAGCTGCTTGGCAGGCTGGCGGGTGCCGCTGATGGGTGCGCGGACCACAGCTCAATAGCTGCTGTCTGCAGGGGAAAGAAGACCCCCAGAGAAACTAGAGCCTGGGAGGGAGGTGATCCTACACCAGGCTGTGTGGCAATCTGTGCTGGACTCTGCATTCCAGTTTGGAGTTTCAGATTTGGAGGATGATGCAGAAGATTGGGAGAAAATATCAATAAGATAAGCATTACAAAATGAGCCCTGAGAGAAAAGTCAAAAATGAAACGATTTGTATTTGAGGCAAAGCTCCATGTGCCCATCTTTGGGGGCAGTGAGACGTAGGCAGGAGATCAGGAATTCTCCCCAACTGAAGTTCACACCCGTGCCCCACTCCACATTGGTCAATAGAGGGGCCTGCTGGTTAAAAAGGACTGTGGTCACTTAAGTAAAGAGAATGCAGAAAAATGCAATGAGCTTTGTTTTATGGGAGGTCAAGGGGCAAAGCATAGCTAATCAAATTCACAGATGGCATTTTAGCTTCTGATTTCAGGAAGAAATGCAGCATATACTAGACTGGTTTATAAATGGGTTTTCTTTCTTGTCCTGTGCCACTGGCATGAAGATCAGAGAAAGTGGAAAAGTGCATGCTCACATGTGCCCACACACACATACACACACACCTTGCAAATGAAGTAAAATCTCTGAATAGACCAGAGCTGGCTAGCTTAGTAGGCAGGGCAGTGATAAGGAACATTATGAACACACATTCTTCAACTGTGTCAGAATTCAGGAGGAAATATGTTGGACACAAATGATTTTTAACCTAACCAAGAAAATGCTTTTTTTTTTTTTTTTTTTTTTTTTTTTTTGGGCTGCATGTTTGGGAAAAAAATTAATGCATTGGCTAAGTCAGGCTGTCCCATAGCTGTGCTCTGTAACCTACCCTTTGCTGTCTGCCATCTTCCTGTTGAGGCCCATTCCCATCTCCTATTCTTTTTTTTTTTTTTTTTAACATTTTTTAAAAGATTTTATTTGAGAGAAAGAGTGCAAGTGAGAGAGCACAAATGGGGAGCAGCAGAGGGAGAGGGAGAAGCAGACTCCCTGCTAAGCAGGGAGCCCCACCTGGGGCTCGATCCCAAGACCCTGGGATCATGACGTGAGCCCAAGGCAGATGCTTAACCAACTGAGCCACCCAGCCGCCCCTTTATCTCCTCTTCTTCTATGTGTCTAAACCTGCCATTACATTGTTTGGCTCCAGAATATCTCAGAGCCAGTGATTTTCCCTCTCTGGGAAGGGCTGACTGCTCTGTCTACTCATCCTGGACATCAAGTCATGTACTAGAAGCCTCACCTTGCCCACCATCTTAGTTTCCCTTTGGGCTAAGTACCTTTCTGAACATCCTTCAGGCTGAGATGCCCAGGAGGGAATGGCAACAAGATTTTGCCGTCCCTTCTCATGTATTTGTAGTGAAACATCCTTCCATTAGATCTTGAAATACATGAAAGCAAAGAGAAGTTTTTAAAGCGAAGGTAATCTGTCCTAAAAAAAAAAAAAAAAAAAGTGGCCCCAGGTACGAGAATATTAAAGTACGAGGCACATAGTATCATCGGGCAGAGGGTCCCAGGGACAGGTTCTCTATATGTAGGCTAGAGGATGTTTAAGTGGCCTCCCTTGTTCAAGTCAGTGCTCTGTATCCAGGCACACCATTTTGGTTCCTTGAAGCTCTGAAATACTGTTTATACCCAGAGAGAACCGGAACTGAGCTGAAATCTATGCATAATATTTAAGAAACAACATGATTCCCAGAGCTTTGGGATGGTTCTGTGGATCTGGACCGATGTGTCTCTTTTAAAGTGCAGAGCACCCCTGGCGCCACCCCCCCGCCCTGGGGAAGAGTGAACAGCTCATTTCCTTGCTCTGCTTTATTTGGGGCAGCCTGGTGGGAGGCTGACCCAGTTCTTTGGCTGCACTTATGTATATACATCTCAGTAGATCTCCCTCTGAAAGATGAGCATATTTAGTTTTTTTCGCACATTGCCTCCACATTTTGACAACTGTAGGCATAATCAGATTGTCTGTTTTCTAAGTATGGGAACAAGAATAGGACTTTTGGTAACTCTATCTTAAAACCACTTAGGAAGAATACCCTGAGAACATTGCCTAGAAAGTTAATAGAACTTATAAAACTTATACCAGTGTCACACACACACACACACTTTTAAAAAAAATACTATAGGAGTTTATATCATGAAAAGTAGCCACCTCAGGCACTCATTTTGCTTCTTCAAATGGAGGTAGCCATTTCCAACTCTCTTGGGTATCCTTCCAGAGATTTTCCATGGATAGGTACATCTGCACTTGTGTGTGTGTGTGTGTGTGTGTGTGTGTTTAAACTACACTCATTGTCTTACATCTGCCTTTGTTCACTTACTCTCTCTTGGCAGTTCCATCTCCACACATTCAGATCTATGTCTTCATTTCAAAATGGCTGCATAGGGGGTACCTGGGTGGCTCAGTCAGTTAAGCATCCGACTCTTGATTTCAGCTCCGGTCATGGTCTCAGGGTCGTGAGATCAAAACCCCATGTGGGGCTGAGCCTGGAGCCTGCTAGGGATTCTCTTTCTCCCTCTCCCTCTGCCTCTGCCTCTCCCAGCAACCCCACTCTCGCTCTAAATAAATAAACAAAATGGCTGTATAGTGTTCCATTGTTATGACTGGACCGCAGTCTATTTAAATCAGTCCTCTGAAACATTAGATGGTGTCCAGTGTTTTGCTGCCCTAAAAACTGCTGTGATGGACAACAAACAAGAATTTTAGGAAACTGTGGGGCACCTGCCTGGCTCAGTCAGAAGAGCATGTGACTCTTGATCTCAGGGTTGTAAGTTCAAGCTCCATGTTGGGTGTAGAGATTACTTAAAAATAAAAATAAAAATTTTAAATAAAATTTTAGAGAATTACAATTTTATAACATCAGGTTAATTAGCCAAGAAGCAAATTTGAAAATGTTTAATTGAACATTTAATTGACAATGTTGAACATTATTAAGGGTTTGGGAGAAAGTCATCCAGAATCCTACCTCCCCCAATGCAGTGATTTTCACATTTGTATATTACTTTCAGCCCCGGTGGCCACACATATTTTTACATAGCTGCCATCACAATTTAACTAAGTTTCTTTCTTTCTTTCTTTCTTTTTTAAAGATTTTATTTATTTATTTGACAGAGAGAGAGACAATGAGAGAGGGAACACAAGTAGGGGGAGTGGGAGAGGGAGAAGCAGGCTTCCCACCGAGCAGGGAGCCCAATGTGGGGCTTGATCCCAGGACCCTAGGATCATGACCTGAGCCGAAGGCAGACATGACTGAGCCAGGCACCCCTAACTAGGTTTCTTTAGAGCTGTAATACCTCTCTCTCTCTCTCTCTCACTCTGAATTTAGAGAAAAGACACGGAAATACCACATTAACCCCCTCTAATTTCTCCCTCCCTCTTTCTCCACACTTGCGCCCACTCAGCACCAAGCACTTTGACTAGAGGAAAGCTGTTGGTGTGGGAATTTGACACAAACATCTTCCCATGCGTTTCTGTATCTGTAAGCTCTATTCAGTCCTAAACTCCCTTAAGCAAAGCCTCCGGTGTATTCTGATACCTGCCCCCACTTCACTGTGGGTCCTTGTTTATGCGCTGCAACCTGTTGTAATTTCACAGACAACCAGAAGGCCTTGGAAGAAGGTTGTTGAGGAACAGCTTTTCTGGAAGTTGTCCAACTAGGGAGAGATTTGCAGATATGGGAATATGAAGAAAGGGGCCACATTCTCTAATAAAGGGTGGTCCGGGAAAGAGATGACTTCTGTTTCACTCCACCCTGGAATCCAGTTCTTTATCGGTTCATTGTGAGGACCTGTGGTCATCAGGAGAGGCCTGCCTCCTTGACCACTTCCACTGCTCCTGAGGGCGCCTGGACCTCCCCAGCCCAACCATGGGGGGGGTGGGGTCTCCTTTATGAGAAATTGGTTCACTGCAAGTTTGTGAATGCCATTTACTTTGTAGCAGGGTTAGGGATCTTGCTTACTTGATGGAGGAAATTTGGTTAGTGGAGAACAAAAAACCTAGACCGAGACTAGCTCCTGGGTTTTGGTCACACCAGCTTCTTCCTTTCTTGCCGTGTGATATCAGTCAGGCTATTTTACCTCTTCAAGCCTGTTTGCACATATAGAGATTAAAAGGATGCTTTGAACTGATCTTTAACATCCTTGTAATTCTTAACAATCTGATTTCACAAATTCCAGAAACCTTACTATAGATTTCCTTTTTTTTTTTAAGTTATTTATTTATTTTTTTAGTAATCTCTACACCCAATGTGGGGCTCGAACTCAAAACCCTGAGATCAAGGTTCGCATGCTTTTCTGACTGGGCCAGCCAGGCGCCCCTGGATTTACATTTTTTAAGCGTTTTCTATTCTGTTACCAAGGCCCTGACTTGACTCAGTCCTCTTCTTTTCGATCTTCCTTCCAGCCAGTCTCCTCTCACAGACCCCCCTGTTCCAGGCTCTCTGCTAGGTTCTGTCAGGCAGAGCCAGCCCTCCACTCAGAATCCCTCTCCCACCCACAGCTCAGCTTTTGCCGACATCTGAATTCTTCCAAGGCTCTTCAACATTTCTCCAAATGTCTGGTCTTCTGCTACCATTATCCCATGGTTTCTCCAGTATATTCTGAAGGTCTGGCCCAGAGGACCTGCATGATCCACTATTCATCATTGGCCAGGTCATCAATTTGGGGGAGATAGCCTCCAAACCCCCCCCCCTTGAACTCATAGAGCATCTTTCTAGATGGAACATTTCTATTAGATGCTATGGAACA